TGAAACTCGGTTTCCATCCTCAGATCAGTGCAATCACAGAATAACATTTCTGAAAACTGGGAAAAGGGCAACAATGTGCTCATCGTCACACCGCGCTGACGCGTCGCCGCGTCCTCCTCTCAGCCTCCCTGTCCACCCCGGTGGCCACTGGCTGCACCCGCTGTTTACGTTTATGGCGATGGTACGTGAAGTTGAAAATTCGGTTGCTCAGTTGCACTGGACACATTTCTCGGGCTCAAGAGCCACGTAAAGGTGGCAGCTGCCGAGGGGGATGGCGCACAGCCTCGGTCCTGGCGGGAGGTCCGTGGGCAGCACTGCTCTGAGCTGCCTCTCACGCCTCAGGCCATTCAGAGCGTAGCCACAGCTCGTGAGCACTGCTTGTCCCCCCACCCTTTTTGATAAATGTCCACGTTGCAGCACGGCCCTGACCAACACTGTGTATTCTTCCGTCTGGTCGCACGGAGGTGCTGAACCTCTCAGGGGTCACAGACCCTTGGGGAAGTCAGGGGGTGCCCTTCCTCTTAAACACGTGCACCCCGAGCACGCACACAAAGCGGGGTGCCCGTGGGCCTCAGTGAAAACTCCTGGATCCCACGGACGAACTACGTTTGATGTACCCCCTCCTCTGTTGTTGGGTATTTAGGTTCTTCTCTTTCCTTCTCGCTATAAAGAACACCGTGATGAACATCTTCAGGCACGTGGTTTCTTCCGCTCTTGCTGCAATTTGGGTTGTTTTGCAGGATGAGTCCAGAAGAGGCCTTGTGACTTGGAGAGCAGGAGCTCTGCTTTGGTTCTCGTCCAGGTCGCCCACGCACATCCCCAGGCAGGGCCCGCTGACACCGTGCTGGCCACACGGGGGTCCTGTGATATCACGTGCTCACCCACGGGCTCTTTAGACTGGACCAGGTGCCTTTCAGCACAGAAACGTGTGACAGGATGTCCTCTGCCTTGCCTGGTGGCCACCCTCCCCATCCAACCTAGCACTTGATTTCTGACACTGGCGGACACAGGACCAAGACAGCCCAGAACCCGGCCCTACTCAGGAAAGCTCAGGCTCTCGGGGCAGCCCGTGACAGCGAGTCAGTGGCAATAGCTGTCCCCATCAACCCGTCCCCCAAGTCAGCCCCGAACGCTCGTTTGGTCAAGGATGTCCAGGCTGTCACTGTGATGGGGGCTGGGCAGGTGGGCCCACCTTGCAGGAAGCAGGCCCTGCCCAGCTGTGGCCCACAGGTACCACACCAGGGGACACTGCCATTTCTAGCCACTCAGCCCTTCTGCGAACTGCTCTCGGATCCCAGGGGGCCGTTCCTCCTCCCGGCCCATCCCAGCCAGACGCACAGCCTGCACGCGCAGTTCTCCAGGTCTACCACTAGAGGGGTCCCACGAGCCAGCCTGCGGCTCTGCCCTCCTGGGGCCTCTTCCCAGTTAACCGGAACTTTTGACCCAGCAGCACTGACAGGTGCACGTGGGGTCCTCAAAGCCACTCCACACACACACGGGTAGCTGGTCCTCTGGGGACCTCGGCTCTGACGCCGCTCGCTGCCCCAGTGCACAACCTTCACGGGTGGGGGGTTCTCGACTCTGGCCGTACGTTGGAGCCTCCTGCGGAGTTCAGAAACCACTCATGCCGGCCCACCCCGCAATGTGGGTCCGGTTGGTCTGGACGCGGCCTGGGCATCAGGATTGTAAAACGCTGCCCAGGGGTCCTCGTGGGCAGCCTGGCCGGGGACACCCACTCTACCGTGTCCAGTCCCACCAGTCCACAACGTGAAGACACCAAGGGGATGGGGGAGGGGCGAGGGGTGCCAGCTGCGTTTCCAGGGCCTGCGACGTGGTGGGGGCCGAGGCCGCACCCTGGACAGCAGGAGCAAAGGAACAAGGAATGCTGGGAAACGCAGATTCTGGGGCCAGCCCAGCCCCTTCCGGAATCCACATCTGCTTCTTTTAAGCTCCCAGCGGTCTGTCTCACTATGGGCTGTGGCTGGAGCCACGGCGACTCCATGTCACACCTGTTACTTCTGCCCTGGAGACAGACTTTCTCCACAGCAGCCCCGAGCTGAGGCACTCGCCCCGGGAGGGGTCCCATTCACGTCCACCTTGTCCCCGCACCGTAACCGCGTTCAGCGAGCCGCAGCTGAATTGGACTGATACGGGCCTGAAGGGCCACGTGGAGCCGTCCGGGGCTCCGTGGCACAGAGGCCCAAGAAAGGGCAGCACTGACCAAGCCGGCAGCCACGCGGTCAAGCAGCATTTTCTGCCCCTTCGTGGGGGCAGGCTGGGAGGAGGAGAGCACCCCAGCACCAGCCTCCCATGGGGGACGCCCCCGGCCCCAGCGCTCAGTCTCACCCCGACCAACCCTGCAAGGGGGCTCTCAGCCCCATTTCACCCCCGAGGCAGCCGAGTTTCGGACTCGGGGGCTAACTCTCAAGGTCACACAACTAGGGGGTGAAACCAGGATCGGAAGCAGATGTGTCGGGCTCGAAAGTTCCCGCCGCCACCACCACCGCCACCACCGCTCGCCTCCCAACAGCGGCACGTGCAGGGCGGGGTTACAGTGGGCCTAGCGGGAGAACAGAGAAGCCAGCGATGAGTAGCACCCTCCTTGGCCAGGGGGACAGAGGAGGCTGCCCCGAAAGCCAGACACGAAGGCACCACCGGGGCTGAACCTCACCCACACCAGCTGGGCGGGAGGAGGAGGAGGAGATGCCCAGGTGAGGGCAGCCGTGGCCCAGGCACCAGGCAGAGACGGGTCTGGGGAGCACCGGGGAGAAGACTGGAGGGAAGAGTGGGTAGGGCTGCCTCACTCCGCCGGGCCTGGCCCCCGGCCTTGCAGCCCCAGCCAAGCGGACGAGGCTTCATCCTGAAGGGTCACAGGTGGAGGCAACTTCACCACCACAGTGCAGGGGCGCGCGGACCCCTCAGCTGTGACAAAATGTCTCCTGACACTGCCACGAGGACTGAGTCAGCCCCTGGTGAGAATCACTGCTCTGGAGGAACCAGGAGACACCTGGGTGTGTGTAAGCTCCCCCGGGGCAGTGCCGTGTGCAGCCCGGGGAGAGGGGCAGGGGAAGCGGGACCGAGAGTGCGTTTTCATAACCCAGAAAATGCATATTGCTATGCTCATCTTACAAACGGGGAAGCCGAGGTTCCCAGAAGATAAAGAACTTTCCATGGTTCACACCGGCCAGTGGTGCCAGGACTCAACTCCTTGAGTGCCAAATCCGAGCTCCTTAGGAGGGGCTGCTGGACAGAGAGCTGCATGGGCCAGGTTCAGATGCAGGTTCTGCCACTAGGTCCTCAGCCTGAGACTGTGGGCCAAGCCTGCCACCTCTCTGGGTCACAGCGCTCCCTCCACCTGGGCCCCGGGGTGCACAGACGCCCACGGGTGCCACCGCACTGCCCAGGTGTCACCGGCAGGGGGTACTCTGGCCAAGCTGGACCACTGCTGGAGTTTTAGTCCCAGCCTGGGTGTTCCCTGGCCCCAAACGCCACACAGCTTAGGGGACCTCATCCGGGAGCTGGTATCCGCGGTGGTGGCTGACTGCGTGCTTTTATCTGCGCTCTGAGTGCTTGAGACAAATGTTACCAGTTCACCCTCGGGCTTTAATGGACTGAATCTTATTGAAGGGATGAAATCAGGAAAGAATCCATCTCAAATGCATTCCTGCCGCAGCCAGCAAAGCATTCAGGGGTCCCCACGCCCTGTCCCTGTGCTCCCTGGCTTACCTCGGCCTGCTGTGACCTTTTGTGCTCTCGCTCTGGTGTAGACGCAGCTGAGTTCAAACCCCGGCCTGACTTAAGTCCTGGCTGGGTGACCTCCAGCAGGTCACTTACCCTGTCTGTGCCTCCCGTTCCCCTTCTATACGAAGGAGATAGTATTCGGACCTCCCTCCCTCAGTTTGGGGTTGTTGAAAGCATAAAAACGTACAATCCACAGCACGGTGTCCAGTCCCAGGCAATGCTCCAACCATCAGCCGCAGCAGCAGCCTGGCTCATGGCGTGAGCTCAATAATTAATCACGTGCTCCCTAATGCCAGCTCTTCTAACGTCCACTGTCATCGCTATCATTCGCCTGGAGCTCTAGCGCGTGCGAGGACCACACCCACACCCAGAGCGTGCGGAGGGGCTGCGGAAGTGGATATGGCCCCACCTGGCCTGTGCGATGGACGCACTGCTCACCCACCTTGTCACACCCACCCCAGGTGGCCCTGAGGACCCTCATGACACCCTCCAGGGGTGGGGAACCTGCGGCCTCAAGGCCACACGTGGCCCTCCAGATCCCCAAGTACGGCCGCTCAACCGAATCCAAACTTCACAGGACAAATCCCTTATTGAAAGGATTTATTATACAGATTTTGGATTCAGCTAAACGGCTGCCCTGGAGGATCCAGAAGGCCACAGGTCTCTCTCCCCCTGCCTGGGCTCCCAGGCCGAGGGAACCCACCGCAGGGCGGGGGTTGCACTCCTGCTGCCCTGGCCCCACAAAGAGCTGCCACTGAGTCCCACCCCCCCAGGCACTCCAGCTCCCCCGGTGAGGGTGAATGCCACCAACATTCCCCCAGGACTGTGCTCCAGCCTCCCAGATGCTAGGAGGAGAAAGGCTAACGTTCCCGCGGGTCCCAGTGGGCCGGGTCACGTGACTGGTGGGTTACAGGGCAGACAGGGCCGGCTGGGGACCGTGAGGAGCAGCCAGCCCTATAAATCAGCCTTATGATGCTGCCCAGGCCCCTGGGCATCTGTCTGGGGGTCACCCCTCCGAGAGGGGAACAGAAGGGACCAGCACTCCTGGGGCCCATCCACCTGTCCCAGGTGAGGATGCTGAGGGGAATGTTACCAGCCACCGGGCTGGGGTAAGGAGGGACACCGTGCAGAGCCCTGGTCTTGGGGAGGGGCCACCAGCAGTCAGCGTCGAGGGCAACGTACTCAATCGCTTCCCACAGCCCAGGTCGGGGCCTCGGGGGCCCACCCCAGAGCCCCCATGCCCGGGACCAGGGACTCACCTGCTGTCGCTTTCCAGAAACACGGAGCCGTGGCTGTCGGCCAGGGCCGCACGGATGGGCGAGAGGCAGAAGGGTGAGGAGAAGGCGTCCAGGTCCGAGTCGAAGGAGCTGTCCCTGCTCACGCCCTCGGCTGACAGCTCCAGGGAGCCGTCCTTCTCTCCGGGCTCGGGCCGCGGCTCCTGCCCCTCCTCGGTCCCATCCTGGGAGCTGACTGTGGACAGGGTTCCAGAGTCGCTGTGGGCAGGCTGCAAGGCAGGGAGGGGGCTGTCCTCCCCCAGGCTCTTGGCCAGCTTCTCCCCATTCTCCAGAGAAGGGCTGGCGAGCACGGCATCTCCGATGCTCTCGGCCCACCACCAGGATGTCCTCGTCTTTGGGGGTGGGCAGGGGGCGTGGTTCCGTGGGGGAGGACTGGTGGAGGCCCCCTGAGCTCTGGGTGCGCCGGCCCCGAGAGCGGGGTGCCTTGCGTACGGGGGAGCTCTCGGGGGTGATGTAGCGCAGAGCCTCCTCGTCCTGCCTCTGGATGCGAGAGTTGGGGACCCACGCCAGGATGAGGGTGGCGCCCAGCGACTCATCCTTCTCCATGTACAAGCACAGGTAACCTGTGGGGGGCAGCAGGGCGGGCGGGTTAGACGTGGTGGGAGCTGCGGGCGGGGCCCTGGTCCTGTGCTGGGCCGCGCCTCCTGGAGGCCACCCCCGTGCAAACCAGCTGGGCTTCGGACACGGCCCGGCCCCAAACAAAGCACACCAGAGGGGCACAGCCGAAGCTCACACACACTTCCAGCAGAGCCAGGGGGCACTGGTCCCCGAGCAACAGCCTGTCCTGGGATTTTCCAAACATAGGGAGCTGTACCCGGGTCACAGCGACCACCCCGGCCCCAGGGCTCACCCTGCTGGGGCAGCCTCCGCTTCCAGGCAAGCCCAGCTGCCCAGCACTGTCAGGAGCGGCGGAGGATGGAGACATTATCCTATGTCACAAAAAGAATACATCCCAGCCGGGTGGTGTCTGGGCCTCTTCCAGTCACCTGTGGCTGTAGGGTATTTCTTTTTTTTTTTTTTAATGTGGCTTTTTGGACGAAAGGGCCACCTCTGAAGCTGCTGCATGAGCGTGGACGGCGAACGCTGGGTTGCTGGTGGGCACGGACAGGTGCGATTTCTCCCAGGCCAGCAGCAGGGGGTGGGCGCTGGGTTTGGGGGAGGTGGCATTTCCTCACGCAGCACCAAGCCCTTTCGGGACACCCCGGCGCCAGCCCCGCCCCTCTGTGCTGGAAAGCCCCCGGGGCAGGGGCTGTGTGTCCTCCACCCCCAGCACCTGCTCAGCTCTGCTCCTGTTTCCAACAGAGGTTGGGAACGTAGGGATGTTGGTCAGTTGTGTGTAAGGGCAGCCTGAGGGCCAGGCCAAGTGTTCCCACGGCCTCCAGTCACAGGTCATGCAGCTTTGGGACAGGTGGAGGCTGAGACCTCACCCCCACCTCACTACCCCTCTGCCTCCCAGCGCCATGGGAAGTCCTCCAAAGGCCGCTGCTGTTTCACCCCAGGCCTGGCCCTAGAGCCTCCGCGCCCCTCCCATGGGGCTGTGCCACCGGGGCCTGCACCTCCTTTCAGAGGACAGTCCTGGACTCGGGCCCAGAACCCCCTGCCCACACGGCAGAGGCCCGAGTCCAGGGCAGAAGGGATGGGCTGGCTGCTGCTCTCTTGCTCTGGGCCCTGGATTCTGCCTCTGAACCTGACACCCGGGTCACAGGAAGATACACTTATCAAGGCAGGAGGATAGAGCACTCTCTTTAGACATCGCATTAGCATGATTTAATCTGGTTTTTTTTTTTTTTTTTTGAGACAGGATTTTGCTATGTTGCCCAGGCTGCCCTCGAACTCTTGTACTCAAGGGATCCTCCCACCTCGGCCTCCTGAGTAGCTGGGACTCCATGGCGTGCCACCAGGCCTGGCTGAACTTTTTGTCTTGTTTAGTAATTTATGCATTCAGAATTCTACTGAAACATAATTTGCATACAGTAAAGTGCCCAGATCTCACTGTAACTAATAACTTTTAAATATTTCGAGGTCTGGTCTGGGGCCTGTCTGTGCTCTTGCCCTGGGCCCATGCGGCAGAGAGGGGGCAAGTCCCTGTGGGCCACAGGGGGCTGCAGGACCCCGGGACTGCCTGGGGGCAGGCGGGGAGAACCAAGGACAGCCCAGGGAAGCAGGTTCAGCACCCCACCCCCACCACAACCCTTGCTGGGCAGCCTCTCTGAGCAGCAGGGTCCTCACCCGCCAACCAGGCCCCGCCCACTGCCATGGGGCTGTTGTGCAAATTCAATAAAGCAATAGCTGGACAAAGCAATACGTTTATTTGTTGCAAGTCACTCACATAAATGACAGGGGACCTTGTAGGCCTCAGATATCACTAACTCATCTTTTTGGTCCTCCCTTGGGGACAGGAGGGCCTGCTTCCTGGGGGGAGCCGGACCTATCACCCCAGAGCTCCCTTCTGGGAGGATAGCTATAGTTAGTTTCAAGTTCTAGAAAAAAAACCCAAATGCACTCATCTTTCTTATGTGCTATGGCCCCGGGCCTAGGATGTCCTGGCTCAAATGTAACCCGGGCCCTGCCAAAACCAGAACAAAACAGAAACACAGTCTCTTTCTCTGTGGCTCAGCCCAAGAGGACAACGTCTCTGTCCCCACAGGAGGAAGTTTCCCCCCAGGAACCACAAGAACAAGGCCTGCAGGTGTCCCAGGAAAGGCCACAGGTGACGGGAGCCCAGCACGGCGGGGCGGAGAGGCCCCTCGTCCGTGTCCACTCTGAGCACCGGCCGGAGTTTCTGCCCGAATTTTGAAACAGTGGGATTCCAGGGCAGAGGGTAACCAGGAGCAGCGATTTCTAGGGGATTTTGGCCCTCGACCCCCAGCCCTGCCCAACACTGTCTGTTCTCACCTCGGCCAGCGGGGCGGGGGCCCTGACGCCACACGCAGGTTCCTAGAGCGGAGGGGTCCCACTCCCTTGCCTGGTGGGCGGGGGGCTCTGGCCCCAACCTCCTAGGACCTCAGTGAACTTGTCAGTACAGTGTAAATTCCTTAACCCATTCTGCCCCCACCATGTGCACGAGTCAGAGGTCACTGATGCCCCGCACGGCTGGGGAGACGAGGGCAGAGGAAGTGAGACACAGCCTTCCAGGGGAGCCCGGCGACTGGACAGAGATCAGCAGATCAGCTGGGCCCTCCCCAGGCCTGTGACCTCAGGGTCCCCCCTCCCCAGGCCTGTGACCGTGGGTCCCCCCTCCCCAGGCCTGTGACCTCAGGATCTCCCCTCCCCAGGCCTGTGACCTCAGGATCTCCCCTCCCCAGGCCTGTGACCTCAGGGGACTCCCTCCCCAGGCCTGTGACCGTGGGTCTTCCCTCCCCAGGCCAGTGCCCTCGGGGGCCCTCTCTGGCTCACCTGGGTGGTGCTCCCCCAGCCCCTGCAGCCCCTCCGGTGGGTGCACGCAGACATTGTTCTTAGAGTAGATGATCTCACCATCCAGGACGGAGGGGGACCCGCTGCCACTGCCCGGGGTGAGGGTCAGGAGGTCGGAGGCTTTGGAGGAGGCCCGGCGAAGGAGGCGGCCCAGAGACATTGCCGGGCGAGTGTTTCCATCCTCCGCAAGCTTAGGCCCAGGCGGGGCTCGTCAAGACCTGCCTGGCAGGGGAGAGACACAGGAGATGCTTCAAGCTCAAGGTCGAGGACTCGTGCCAGGCATCCCTAGCGCTGCATCCTGCCTCACACCAGCGGGCACCCAGCGGGTGCCAGTTAACTACAGGAAGGGGTCCTGCTAGCACACAGCCACGTGCGGGGCAGGCCAGGGTCTCCGCCTCGGTCGGGTCATTGTTTTGTGGGGGAGCAGCCCGTGCCGTGCAGGATGCAGAGCAGCACCCCGGACTGGGCCCACAGATGCCACTTGCATTGCCCCAAGGAGAGCCACTAGGCCAGAGGAACCACGTGCCAACCTCTAGGGCTTAGTTTCCGCTGGTACTGCCACACGTGGGCCCCTCCTCCCTGAACCTCCCACCCTGCCCCCATGGTGTGTCCCCCATATCCTGATGTCCAAGGTGCCACAAATACCATTTGAAGAACCTGCATTTACATACAATTCACTTGTTATAAAAGTGAACTACAAACAAAAGGATCAGTATCCAAAATATATAAAGAACTCCTACAAACTCACTGGAAAAGGAGCAACATCCCAACAGGAAGAACGGGTAACACACACAGGAAGAAAACCAAACAAACGATAAACATAAAGAAATTCTCAGTTCCAGACAAAAATCCAACACACAACAGACTGGCCAAAGGAATTTTAAGTCTAAAAATACTGCACGTAGGAGGGGATGCAGGGAGAGAGCTCTCACGGGCTCTGGTCCACTCCAAGGCCACGTATGGCACCACTGAGAGGGTCGACCCCAAAAATTCCACTTCCAGGAACCCCTAAGGTGGTTAGGTGACACGCCCACCGTGGGTGACCCCTCGGTGCAGAGGTTGGCAAACTGTTCCGCAAAGGGCCAGAGAGCGACCACTCCATGCTGCCCTTGTCGGGAACAGCTGCAGACAACAAACAGAGGGGTGTGACTGGTGAAAATTCACGGAGAGACACAGAAGCTGGAATTTCATATCATTTTCACGTGTCACCAAAAAAAAAAATATTCTTTGGACTTTTTTCAACCATTTTAAAAATGTAAAAATCGTCCTTAGCTCAAGGGCTGTACAGAACAGGCAGAGGCCGGATTTGGTCCGTGGGCCGCCGAGGGCAGGCCCCACATAGACCACCCAACCACATCTGCACACTCTGCTGCCTGTCCAGTCACCTCTGCCAGCCCCTCCAGGAAGCCTTCCGGCCACTCCTGGTCTAAAGGCTTCATCTCACACTATGACATATGGTAACCAAGTTGTGAAACTTTTGAAAAGTCTCATGGCAACCTACACATCAAAAACTATGTTGGCTTTCCCATAAACCATCTGGAAAAGCTATATCCTTATTCTAATAATGCTTCCGTTGTCCAGAATATTTTTAGAATTCAGGAATTACAAGGTTAGTTAATGAGTGATAGAAGAAAACTAGTCTCCTGTGTCTAGACCAGCTATGCCTGACAGAAATATAATAGGAACCACATATACAATTTAAAATTTCCTGGTAGCAGCTGGGCATGGTGGCTCATGCCTGTAATCCCAGCACTTTGGGACGCTCAGGCAGGAAGAGTTTGAGACTAGGAGTTAAAGACCAGCCTGGGCAACATAGTGAGACCCCACCTCTACAAAAATTAAAAAAAAAAAAAATCAGCTGGCAGGGTGGTGCACCTGCACTCCCAGCTACTTGGGAGGCTGAGGCAGGAGGATTATTTGAGCCCAGGAATTCAAGGCTGCAGTGAGCGGTAATTGGGCCACTGCACTCCAGCCTGGGCAACAGAACAAGACTCCAACTCAAAAAAAATTTTTTTCCTAGTAGCCACATTTTAAAAAGTAAAAAGAAACAAGTAAAATTAATTTTAATAAATTTTAACCGATTGTATCCAAAATATTATCATTTCAGCATGTAATCAACATGAAAAAATTATTAAAGAAATATTTTACATTCTTAAAGTTTCAAAGTCTGGTGTACATTTTGCACTTAAGCACACTGAGGTTCCAACCAACCGCATTTTGGGTGCCAGTGACCTGGTGTGGCCACGGCCTCCGCAGCAGACGAGGCCACAGCAGGACTGGATCCTCCCCTCCTCTGAGCCGCAAATGGTGTTAGTGTAACCGCCCGCATCGCCAGGGTTGGCTGCAAACAACTCTCAGCTGCTTCCAAAAATCAAAACCATCTTTAGGTGAAGATGTTTTGCCACCACTGAGGATAATCAAAAGAATGTGCTGGAGGTTTTGAAGGAGATTTCAAAATATGAGCGCTCCAAATATAACGTCTTCCCACGTACCAGCACACGTGGAACCGCGCTTGGGCTCTAGGAGGTATGTCCCAGAAGTGCACTCGTGTGCAAATGAAAAAACGGGTCCCAGCACCCAGAGCATTTGGAACAGGAGACCTTTGTCCTCCACATGCAAGTTCCGGCTCCTCCCCCATCCCGCCTCCGGGGCCACAAGGACAAGGCTCCCTCCGCCTCCTAGGTCCTGTGGGACAGACCAGGCTCCTTTTGGATAAATCAGGGCATGTCTGTTAAACATTAGCCAGCATTATTTGCTCTCTTAAGACAATTCTTACTTATTTTTAAAATCTACTTGCTCCTCCGAGAGCCTGTTTCATCTAAGTTAAAGCTGGTTCCCAACCTCTGGTCACCCTCAAAGTAGAAGTGAACACCCCTTGACCTATTTTTTAAACTTTTTAAAAAAATTATGAAACATACTCGGAGGAGTGTGCATATCCCTCAAATCTTCCAAAAATATTTGTGTATTTTCCACGATTTTCCATGCCCTATCTAAAAATAAGCAAATGAAAAATTTAAAAACCCCCCCACTGGAATTATATCAACTCTTGCTTTCAGTGACATTGTAAGTATATTTTCCTAGGTGATGTGGGTTGAACTGCACCCCTAGGATTCACGTGTTGAAGTCCTAACCCCCAGTACCTCGGAACATGACCTTATTTGAAGATAGTGTCTTTATGGAAGTAATTGAGTCAAAATGATGGGCTAATCCAACGTGATTGGCGTCCTCATAAAATGGAAGTTTGGAGACAGACGTGCATATCCCGGAATGCCACGTGACCCTGAAGACAGCATCCACAACCAAGGAGAGAGGCCTGGGACAGATCCTCCCTCATGGCCTCAGCAGGAACCAACCCTCCCGACACCTTGACCTTGGACCCCTGGCCTCCAGAACAGGAAAACGGCTTCTGATGATCCATCCGCCAAGTCAACTGCCCTGTTTGTTAGACACGTGTGTTCATCCTGTGAATTGTCTCTTGGTGTGCTTTGTCAATTTGCTGGGCTATTGGAATTCTTATTTGATGTATAAGGACTCTTTATATAGCAAAGATCACAATTCCCTGCTATAGTTGCTGCACATTTGTTTATCCTAATTTGTCGTTTGCCTTTTAATTGTATCACTTATTTTTAAGTACAGAGGTTTTAAACTCTTATGATGAATTGTAGTAACTTTTCCTTAGTGATTTCTTTTATTACTTTTGTACTTTATAAAATCCTTCCCAAGCCAAAGATCTGTTAAGCTTTGGTTTATATTTTCTTCTAATTTTCTTAAGGTTTCGATATTTAATGAACTACCTTTAATATTTCAAAAAGCCTAATTCAAAGTATACATTTGCCAGAAAAGGTCTCAAATGTTAAAGTATCGACCCGTTCACTGAATGACTGTTCATGCCGTTTCTGTTAATATTTCCTGTTTTTATTATTACTCCATTATGTCTGATAAGAACAGGGAAATTGGTCATAGCTTAATAAAACTGGGATGTTTGCTACATAAAACTTCACAGAAAGTTTAAAAAGAGGCTGCCCTTTGTTGTCACATGGAGACCTATACGGTCTGGCCCACGTTCTGGTCCAAACCCTCGGCTTCCCCTACCCTGCACATGTGATGAATAGATGTGTGTAGGATCCACGGTCCTCACGCCACCAATACACTCCCAGGAGAGTAACTGTCGCTGAGGGCACAGCTCAGCGGGCGGGGGGGAGGGGGACTGTTCCAACCTCCTCTGCCTGGCGCCACCTCCACCCCACTGACAGCACCATTAATAAAATACATTCTCAGAAACTCTGCAGGACTTCCTTGCAGAAACTCAAGTAAGCAGCTCCCTCCCCCTGCTGGGCAGGCAGCCCCACAGGGCACCACACACAGGCTCCGCGGGACCGTGTGCACCCGGCCGGTGCCCTCACGGCCCCCAGCTCCAGCCACGGCTCCCCCAGGAGGGCCACGGGCTCCCCAAAGACACCTTCCCCGCCTGCAACCCCGCACTCGTGTCTACACGCCACTCTATACACACTACACGCTAGACACACTATGCACACACACTACACACACACTGCATACATATACCTCCTACACCACACATAGCACACACATATGCCACATACACTACGCACACCACACACACTACACATGCTACACACTATACACACACCACACACACATTACACACACACTATATACTACCCACACTACATACTACCCACACTACACACACATACCACACGCACCACACACACACCACATACACCACACGCACCACACACACACTACGCCCCTTGCACACAGACGCACCCCCAGGTGCCCCCTCCGCCAGCAATAGGACGGCCGCCAGCTGCAGGGCTGCTCCCCCGGCCAACCTCGCAGCAGATGGTGACGGGACGGGCGTGGCGGATCCCAGGGCGTAGGAGCCTCCCGCCCGGGCCGCGCTGGTCTGCCCCGGGCTGCATGTCCCCGGGCGGGAGGAGTGTGGGTGCCTCAAGCTCGAGGGGGCGCCTGCCGGGACCGACTCCCCCGCCCAGGTCCGAGGGTTGAAGGAGCAGCCTGGAGACGCCCCAGAGAGCCACCTGCTTGGAGTGCCAGGCCAGGGCCAGCCCAGGGCAGTGGTCCCTGGTCCTTCCTGTCCCCCAGGTGTGTCCCTGAGGGCCCAGGGCCGTGGCAGGTTCACCTGTGGGTGTCACACGGCTCCCACTTCGCAGAGCGCAGCGTCAGCCCTCCTATGGGGAGTC